TATTATCGAAGCTATTATTTATGTACCTGCTGTATACCCATCCTCCCAGTAAATAGTTTCAGTAAACCCAAAGAACCTGGGTTCGAATCCCAGTCGAGTTCAAAACTTTTGAAGTGTAATTTCAATTCTCAATTTTCACTGTAAAATATTAATACGATTATTCATGTCCGCACGTGGTTGGTTAACACGATTAAATTACTCTTCTATATATATATATATATATATATATATATATATATATATATATATATATATATATATATATATATATATATATATATATATATATATATATATATATATATATATATATATATATATATATATATATATATATATATATATATATATATATATATATATATATATATACCGGGACATGTTCCACAATTCAATTGGTAAACACCTGATTTGTCTTCTCTTTTAATTTTGTTTTTATTGTTCTTAATGTGTCTCGATAAATTATCTCGCCCATAATAAAAGTAAGTCGAATTATGCTAACCATTTATTAACAGAAAACCATACTTTTGATACGAATTTCAAAATTTTACACAATACAGAGAGAAGTAGTCAATTAGATTATTGGGAAATAGTGGAAATAAATCGGCTTAAAAATTCTAGAAATTTGCACAATGAACAGATAGAATTAAACAATTCACCCTCGGTAAACCTATTCAGTTAATAGAAATTATTTTTCGGAATGAAATATCTTAGGTAAAACCAAAACCATAGAATACCAAAATTCCCTGATATTGATACGTGTGTTTTTCAAAATGTTGTTATTATTTTGTAAACATCTGAAGAAGTCGTTTGTAACGACGAAACGCGTCATGCTATGCAGTCAATAAATTGTAAATCATAAGTTCAAGTGTTTGAATTTAAGTTTATATTCAACTATAATGGATTTACCTCAAGTAAACGCCAACACTATTAAATGTTTCATTCATTGTAAATGCGGTTTATATTTTATTCATATAAAAATTACAATTCCGTTACTCTAAACATAGACATAGCTGATATCAATTGATATAGAAATCATTGTGCATCGTGCTCAAAATGAAATATCCCTTCTTCTTCACATGCCATCTCCGCTTGACAATCATCCTTTCAATTCTAATTTTTGAAGCCGCTTCTCGAAAGAGTTGATTTGATGTGCAGAAAAACCATTCTTTGAGATTTCTTAGCCACGACATTCTTCTCCTTCCAACACTTCGTTTTTCTTAAATCTTTCCCTGTATTATGAGCTGCAGTAGCTGATATTTTTCGGCTCGCATAACATGTCCTAAGTATTGCAATTTTTTGGACTTAATTGTTAGTAGTAATTGGTTTGTCGTCCTTATTCTGCGAAGTACTTCTTCATTAGTAACTCTATCTACCCAGGATATTATTATGATATATATATATTATTCTTCGATACATCCACATTTCAAATGCTTCCAATTTTTCATATATTGTTTGTTCAACGTCCATGCTTCCACACCGTAAATCAATACCGATAGAACATAGCATCTAATCATCCTGATCTTAAAATTCAGACTAGGACTTCGACTACAGAAAATATTTTCAATTCTAATTAATACACGTCGAGCTTTCTCTATTCCTACTCTTATTTCCTTGGTGTAGTCTTGTATATCGTTAATGTTTGTCCCTGAATAATTATAATGTTGTATATATGTTGTACTCTCTCTATCCTTTCGTTGATGACGTAGATGCTAATGTTCCCTATGTTCGTTATAACCATAAATAGTTTTATTTATGTTAAGCCAAATTCTCTACATGTTTTTAGTACTTCATCTAGTAATCTCCGTAAGTATTGCTTGTTTTCTGCAATTATCTAAAATATCTCTAAATACTTATGAATAGTTCTAACCTGAAAAATTGTTTTCATATTTTGACACTGGAACGTGGAATTTTGGAGAGACCAACTGATTTATACCGATTCTTACTCCTCTGAAGAAACATTTTTTCAACTTATTTAGGTATTATTATTATTATTTCGATTGTTCCCCATGAGGAGAGCGACTGAACCTGAATTCGCAATCATTAGAAATTTTGCTTCATCTTTTTTGCCTCCCAAAAACGCTTCATCCTTACTTAATGCTCTTTCTTCCGTTCATCTGTCCACTTTACTCCAAGTTGACGATTTAATTTTTGCTCGAACTTTATATGTGCGATTTTATAGCGACATTCAGTGCGATCTTCGAGATTTTTTATATTGATTTGTTGTAGATCCTTTTGGACCTCTTTTAGCCACTCTGTTCCGCGTTTACTATTCATAATTATATTGAGTAGTTTCTTTGGTATTCTGGACTGTTTCATTCTGTAGACATGTGCATAGAACTTTGCTCGTCGTTTTCTGATTTCTTCCGTTATCGTATTTGTCTTTTGATACAGTTTATTTTGAGGTCTTTTCATCCAAATACCCTTTCTTTTGATTGGCAAGTAAATCTTTCTGAGAATTTTCCGTTCTTGTCTTTCTATTTCTCTAATTCTTGAATGGCCGCCAATAACCATTGTTTCAGCTGCGTAGATTGCTTCTGGAAGAATCGTTGTGTTATAGTGCCTCAATTGGGCGCCTCTCGAAATGCACTTTTTGTTATAGTGAGCCCATGTTAGTTTGTAGGCCCTTTGGAGCTTGGTTATTCTATGTTCATTAGCGATTCGGTTCAAACCTGAGGACTGTATAACTTCCCCGAGGTATTCAAAATGGCCTACTTGCAGAATTTCACCATGTTTTGTCATAAGAGAAGATTTATTTTTTGGTTTTCTTTCCATGTATTTGGTTTTATCATAAGAAATTTGTAACCCGGTTTTCTGCGCAATTTGTAGTTTTTCCACGGCGCGAATGGCTTCAGTTCTGTTGTCTGTGGTGATAGCAATATCGTCTGCAAAGGCGAGACATTTGACATTTATTATATATTTTTTTTTGATACCCACTTGTATGCCCTTCACATAAAGTTCCCATTCCCTTATGATCTTTTCTGAAACAATATTGAAAAGAATTGGCGAAAGTCCGTCCCCCTGCGGCACACCGGTTTTGATTTCAAAGGGATCTGATATTTCGCTCATAAATTTTACCTTGGAAGTTGTACTTGTAAGTGTCTGTTTTATAATTGTTCGGGTCTTTCGATCGATTCCAAATTCTTTCATGATTTCGAAAAGGGTTTCGCGGTCTACCGAATCATATGCTTTTTTGAAGTCAATGAATGTGATCACTGTATTTCTACATTTCCTGATCTGTAATATCGTCTTCAAAGTCCAGATCTGTTCAGCACATGATCAGCCTTTTCTGTATCCAGCTTGGTATTCCCCAATTAGTGGATCCGCTTGGTGTTCTACTCTATTTAGGAGTGCTTCAGAAAGTATTTTTTACGCAACCGGGAGTAAGGAAATTCCCCTGTAATTATTGATATCCATTTTGTCCCCCTTTTTGTGCAATGGATGTATCAACGCGCATTTCCAATCCTCTGGTATCTGTTCCGTTCTCCAGATTTCTGATATTAAATGATGAAGTTTTTGGGTCGAAGTAGTATCGTTCAGTTTCCAGAGTTCCGCAATAATCCCATCTTCTCCTGCTGCTTTGTTGTTTTTGAGTTGCTTGATAATTGCCGTAATCTCTTCCATATCAGGGGCTTGCGAGTCTGGATGCGTAAACCCCGAAAAGTCGAACATAAGTTTTTCTTGGGGTGGATTGCAGTTGAGAAGGTTGCTGAAATATTCGGCTAACATTTTGCAGATATTTTTCGTGTTAGTTTCCAACGCGCCACCGGATTTTTTGAAGTAAAGAGTGGGCGCTTGGTATCCTCGCAAGTTTTCTCTGAAAGTTTTGTAAAAATCTCCAGTATTAGTATTGGTGAAATCCTTCTGTATTTCGTGACACCTATTATTATCATATCTCCGTTTTCTTCTTCTAATTACTTTGGAGGCCTGTTTTTGAGTTGTAAGGAAATTCTCCCAGTTTTCCTCATTTTTATGGCCGTTAAATTTTTTCCATGCAGTTATTCTCTTGTCGACTGCTTGGTCGCAGATTAAGTTCCACCAGCGGTGTTTCCTGGTGCGAGGAGGCTGTCCTAGTGTGATGGCTTTCTGAATATTCTTTGTAAGGATTTCCCAATTCGTCGATTCTTCCTGATTGATTTGTGCTTTTTTTCAAGTTTCAGATATTCGGGATCGGACCTAACTTTTCTGGGTGTAAATATTTCATTTCTGTTGGGTTGAAATTTTGTTTTTATTTGGAGGAGATAGTGATCCGAATCAAAGACGCCTTTACGAGTTCTGACATTTGAAATTTCCTTGCGACATGATCAATTTGATATTCACCCTGCTTGAGACTGGGCGATCTCCAAGTAGTTAACTTATGTGCAGGTTTTTGAAAATGAGTACTCATGATTTTGAGTTCGAAGTTCCTACAGAACGCGATTAACCTTTCACCGTTCTTGTTGGTACGTTTGTGTTTAGTATGGGGACCCGTAGTATCTCTGAATTTCCTTTCCTTACCTTGCTGTGCGTGAAAATCTCCTAGCAAGATTTTCACGTGTTGTTTTGGTATTTTATTGGTTGTTTCTTCCAATGTTTCCCAAAAATCTTGTACGCTTTCTGGAACGGTTTTGTTGTGGTGACTAATGGGAGCGTGCACGTTGATTAAAGTGTAAGTTTTATTAGCTGATTTGATAGAAAGCAACGAGACCTTATTTGGGTATGCTATATAGTACTCATACTTTCCGCCAAATACCATTTTTATATATCAAATAGGTTACAAGTACTTGGCAGGAACGTCTTCCGTATTGACGAACGAAACACACTGTTACTCAATAACACATCACATTCCATTTTATCAAATGAATTTGGAGTCAAGTTTATTTATAAATTCATTTTTTATTCATTGGACCTACAATTTAACGCCGGTGCCGTACGGCAATTGGGATTATTAGCAATGTACATTACCCAGCATATATATCATCTTCAAACTACTTTAAATCATAGACAAACACATATATCCATGCCTTTCACCGAAGCTCGAACCCGAGTTCTTCCGCACCCTAGACGGGTGCTCTCCCGACTAAGCCACGGAGACCGGCATATAACAAGTTATATGAACAGTGAACATAACAAAATGTGTTATATATGTTGAATATAAAGTAATATATTTTTTGCACAGTGGACGAACAGGTTAACCCCCGTTCCGAACGGCCAATGGGCTTGTTATCAATGTACAGTACCCAACAATTATCATCTTCAAACTACTTGAATCTTAGACAAGCACATCCATGCCTTGCTACGTCCTGTTTAGCACTGCTGACGGTAGCTGTTCGCCAGTGAACAATGCGTCGTGGGTCGTGGTTCGCAAAAAAAAACTTACCAAAAATCTCTAAAATAAAAAAAATTTGGGCGCCACTTGGTTTTCGAAAAGCGACATTAATTAGTCTGATCAGAACCAAGAAAAGATCTAGACTCTTGTATCCTACTGATAGAACTTTCTTACTAATAAATAATCCAATACCAAATTTTATAAGTCAACATAATCTGAATAAGAAGTTAGTGATGGTTAGTAGTTGAAATTTCACAAAGTATATAGAATAGAGTTCCAAACTTGGCATTTGCGAATAGAAAACTAATGTTGTTAGTGCCAAAATATATCAAAAAAACTGGCCTTTTTTCAGACACACATGGTGTTGTGGTTTCCTTATCGGAGGTTTGAAATACCTCGCTGGAAACAACGATGGATGAATATGTTCGTTTGGATGAATATGTACTTGAATTGAGGTTGAATTTCTGTACTATTTGCAAAAATTATCTCTTCCGAAAAATGGAAAATCACAATGAAATGGAAGCTGTTCCAAAGATTAAGGACGCTCCACAGAAAAAGATTGGCGCTACCTCAAAAAAGGATGCTCTAACGAGAAACCCTTGCTTTCAAGAGTTTACTAAAATACTATATTCACAATGAAATTAAAGGATTTCATCTGACAAAAGATTCGATCGTTCAAATAACTATAAAAATGAAGTACTACGTCACGACTGACTCGTTCTTGTTCAAACTACCACTTGACGAAACTGTTTCATGTAGGCAAAAAATGAAGAAATTTGCAGGCCACCTGAACATTCATTGCACTCACAATATTATATTGATCAGAAATCAATATCATTATCGATACATCAAAAGAGATTATCGATGGAGTGTACCCACTCAAGTGCTATTCAAAAGAAATCGAAAAGGCAATCGTCATCTTATATTGCTAGAGCCTTCACCGGATTCGAACCCGAATCCTACCACACCATAGCCTGGTGTTCTCTCGACTAAGCCACTGAGACCGGCAAAACCATAATATATTCAACAAGATTTGCTAAAAATGTTTTATGACGTTCACTTTTGAAAAACTAATGTATTTCTCATATAAATCTTCAATCAACATTATAATCATATGATTTTGTAAAGATTTTGATTCATTTCGCTCTTTTACTTCTTATTATGGGGATAATAATTGAAATAATAATTCGTTTCAAATAACTCACTATAATCTTAAGCAAATGAATTGGAGCTCCCATTGAAATCTTTTTCATTATGATGATCATTTGTGAATATTGAAAAGTTTTAGCATTTACAGGTGCAAATCCATAATAATTACTATGGGATAATTCAAACACTTGACATTCACATTTTTATTTTCATAACGTGGCGAGTTTCGTTAAACTACCGACTTCTACAGGTGCTTACAGAAGATGATTTCACATATGATAAAAGTTAAGTTATGACAATAAAAGTGTGAAGCAAATTCAATAGTTCGACTTACCCTATAGTAATAATACTTCATGTTGAATTCGGTTGTTATAGTAAGAGACAATCTCTTCATACACACATCCACTTCATATTTCATTTCGATGATTGTGAGAATATTCAGAATATTCTTCAAAGTTTGTTACGGTATGTAACAAAATAAATGCGCGCTAGTTGATTATGTACTTTCAAGTGGAATATGTTGAGGATAAATGGTATTTGGAGAATATGAGACCACATCACTAAATTATAGATAGGTTGCTTATACACTTATGACTTCTGTATCTGTTCATAATTTTCCTTTTATTTTTTTTCGATTTCGTCGATAAGAATAAATCGGTTTAATCACCACAGCTGTGTATTCCTTCTCCTGAATGCACGATAAAAAGGCTAATGATCTTCAAAAATAGTTCTAGTAATACTCGCCTAGATGACATTATGCAGAAACACAAACGTTGCCAAATCTACTACTGGGAAACTATGAGTGAGCTACATTCCCAAGACAGAAATCTGTTAGAGGCATGATTTTTCATCATGTGAGCAGTGTTCAAAAATAGAAACTTATACTGTCGAATTCAATTTGAGTCGAATGGAAAAGGAAATTCATAAGTAATGGATAAAACTATTTTTAAGTGAATATTGAAAATGAGCATCAAAAATTAATTGAGACATATTAACACAAACGAATGGAAATCAGAGGGTTCTAGGATTTGACACTCGGATAAGTCACTCTAAAAATGTTGAGTGATTCAAAACAGGTCTCGTGAGAACAGATTTCATATATATGCTGCAGTGAACTCAAGGAAACGAAACTAAGGTGATTTCAAACAATATTTAAATAATAGCGGCCTTCCAAAAACAGTGGAAGGTGGGGAAGTGGTAGAACAGCTACCACTAAAAGACAGTCAACTTGAGGCACATTTTGATTCAACTAGAAGCTCTCGTATGAAAGATTAAGTAAAACTAATACATTATCTAACAAATGTAGAGTTCCTCCAGTGAAAATTGTTTAAAGTACTGAAAGACATGCTTCGAAACTGGACTAAGATCATATGCTGGTTTAGGTAAAGATATTCGTGGACATCTACGAGTTGAATGGTTTTTAATATAATTTTCACTCAGATTGAGTTTCAACAAAGTGGCTGAAAATTAGTAAAATTCAGATGAGATTTGGATTCAATATACAGTTTCAGTGATAGTACATCAGTTTACTGTACCCAAACAACGCAATGTATACACTATACATATACTTTGTGAAAATTTCAATATAACTCCGTTAGTGGAGTCAGAATGGATAATCAGTAAACGAGTTTTCTACATATTTACATCTCCCAAACAAATAAATGATAAGCAAACATTCTATTTTCTCGTTAAGCGAGAAACGTATATTCATTTTGAAATAGGTTGTTTTAATTGAATAAAACGAATTAAATTTCGGGACTTCGAACATGGTTATCAAATTCACTGAACAAATTTCGAAAAAAGCTACATGAAAAGTTACTGATTCAAAATAATATTGTTTTTCCTCTTCACCTCACATACCTCTAAAGTAATCTCTTGTAGGACAGCATCCTCGGGCTAACGAAAGCAACAGGGAAATGTCATATTGCTGTTATTATTTCAAATTGGATATATTGAATGATATTTCCTTATGGAAATATTAATCACCCGTTTTCACACATCGGCTCATATTTCAGGTATTTGACACTTTTGGAAAAATGTTTGGGATGAAAATCCCATTAAGACGAGGACCTGGAGGGTGTTGTACTGCAAACAGCTTTCAGTTGTGCTAACCACGAAACAATAATTGTCTGGCAATTAATTTGATATTATTTTTGTGAAACCAATTCAAATGTTTTTTATCAATATATGTACAATATATTCCAAATTTCAGTGTCACATCAGAAATCAGCAAATTTTTCTATATAAATTCACGCTGAAGCCGATGATTTGAAATTTTTATTTATACCAGAGTTCATCAGCAGTTGATAGTTACTTTGAAAAAATAAAGCTGCCTTGGTTTCTAGTTATCCCAGTTATTCGATAAGCGGTATTCCCCTAAATGTACTAGACCTTTTTGTGCAGAATCTAACGATGCAGCTTATAACCTTTTTTTCAGCACATTTTGCTAGTTGCATCGCAACCACTCAATGCTGGAAAAATATGACAAACCTTTTCGACAAGGGATTGAGCATTGTAACTGCATTCTGAAATGTATTTCGTTTCGTAACAACTTTAAATCGATAGACCTCAACAACATGGGCGTCCTTTTCGTTAGCAGAAATGAAATATGTGATAAAATTATCTTCAAATCGGCTTCTCAATGGTTCGAATTGCAGTCAATTACTTCGATAAATGTAGTTCGCTTTGTGCATGAATAAATTTCTTGGATCATCAAATCCTCTACATACGAAATTAACAGTGCTATAAGGCCCGGTGTGAATAGCACATTTGTGATTATTTTCAGTTTCCACAGCTCGTTACAATTTTGCAGATTTCATGTGAATTTCTTCTGGTCGAAAAGTACCTGCAGTAATTCAGAATAACAGTTTGTATTCGAGATAACAAAAGAGACGGGTTAATACTGTTTTTGTAGAGATATATGAGTGGGTATCTTTGAATCGCATTTTTGTCTTAAGTAATACCTATAGAACCTCCAGTTACAGCTGAAGATCGGTTTTGAGACTGCTCTAATGAGGCCCAAAGTAGTGGGTCAACAATCGTTAGGAATATCGATTACATTTCGTAAATACCAAGAAATTAACTATTCTAAACTATCAGTTTATTCCTACTGGCGCCTACATGCGCTATGGCGCATTGCATCGCTCGTGGGGTAAAGGGGCCAATAACATAAAAATGGAGCAGCACAGTCTTTAACAACATGTGTTTTCTTGTTATCGGAGGTCTCAGGATAATGAATCTGAGCTTAGTTGCCGGTCTTCACATTTTGCATACAACTTCCTTTGGAGCCTGCACTAAAATAGCTGTCTTCACAAATGTTTAATTGCAAATGTGTAAATGCAAATATGAACTACCAACTTCCGAGATACAATGAATATACACCATAGAAAATAGATAGTTTGTATTTTCCTTCAACATTTGTGTGGAGTGCTTCGAAAATGTTAGAGTTCATCTTTCAATAGATGAAATTCGTGTGAGTCGTTCGCTGAAAGGTGAATCAGTGAAGTGATCCAAAATTCTCATTTTGAAGAGATGAGACCTTCGTGTGTTCGGAAAGAACATGTGAAATTGATTTTTGTTATGCATGTCACTGATGAAACCCATAATAGGATGAAACA